ATATTTTGTCAAACAAAATTTGTAAAAATCACAGTTGTGCCTCAATTGAAATGAGAGTGAAAATGTGACTAAGATTTCAATATTGTTTTTCTGTAAATATTTTTGTTTTTAAATATATAGCTAACTAGTGTACATGAACCTTACATAGGCCTAAAGCCTAATATATTTCTCAAAAAATAATTTCCCTGTAAATATTGCACTTCATTCATATTCATTTTCAGCACCATAATTGTTTTAATCAGGTCTTTTTATATAGTTTTTACTCTCTACCGATATCACCCTCATCATCAGCCATTATTAATTTCTAAAAATAACTAAAATATCTTCTAAAACAAATATAAATTAAAATTAGATTATTTGGAAAATTGTTTTGTTGTGTAAGAGTTTTGTTTCATGTTTTTAATCTAAAGCCAGCAACAACTATAAAAAAAACTCACGAAAAGCACAAGGAGAGAGAGTCTTGTTTCATTTCATCATTTAGCAATATACCTGCCTTCTTGCAACACCATCAATTTTACTGTTAACAAGGCTTCGTCACGTTAGACATTAGGCATGAGAATAGTAGAATTTTTTTTTTTTTTTTTTTTTTTAAATTGGAAAATGAAATTAATAATAATTGTATAGTGGGAGGAGGGAAGGGGCACACGACCTGGGACAAGTCTTGCAAAACAATATATTTACTGCCTTAGCTATTGTACGTTGGCACGAGAAATACTCTTTAAGCTGCTTAATTTGTTGTGTAAAGAATAGCGCCCATCATTATGTCTTATGATGATTGATTGGCCGTGGGAAGGGAATGTTTTCAAAGTTTTTCAATAATGTCCCGTATTAAATTTACCTCTTTATTTAAATTTTTGGTGCTAATGTCGGTTTGTCAAGTTGTTGTTTTTTGTGTTCATCAAAAGTATGATATTTTGCATTAGTTTTTGAAGGCTTATAATACTTATATTTATGAAATTTTTAGATTAAATTGTCAAAATTAACAAGTTTCCAAGAAGCACATTTTTTATTTTTGTCTGTAAAAAAAAAAAAAAAGAAGGGGGAAAAAAAACAAATTTACCTCTTTATTTAAATTTTTTGTGATAATGTCGGTTTGTCAAGTTGTTGTTTTTTGTGTTTATCAAAAGTATGATATTTTGCATTAGTTTTTGAAGGCTTATAATACTTATATTTATGAAATTTTTAGATTAAATTGTCAAAATTAAAAAGTTTCCAAGAAGCACATTTTTTATTTTTGTCTGTAAAAAAAAAAAAAAAATGAAGGCGGGAAAAAAACAACAGAAGGGGGTCAAAAATGAGGTGATGCAATCGATACTACAGACAATACTACAGCTGATACTACACTTAATAGAACTGTCAATGTACAGTTGATACTGCGGGTCAATACTGCAGTCCGTACTACAGTCGATACAGCAGTCCATTCTACAGCTGGAACTACAGTCGATACTACAGCTGGAACTACAGTTGATAAATATACTCGATACTGCATAGACTGGCAGACTAAAGAAATCACTTTTTTATACCTTCATAAATTATCAAATAGCAGTAGTTTATGATTTTTTTTAACAATTTTATTTTGTGTTATTAAAGAGTATAACCTTTAAAAAAGCTTATTATTATTATTTTAATTTAGTTTGCCGCCAAAACTACGTTCAACCCAAATTAAGTAACGGCAATGGGCACTATGGCTTTGTGAGGAAGGAAGCCATGATTTAGTATGACTTCTTCCTAGGCGGCTCTGTCCGTCTGTTAGTTTTGTGTGTGGTCACAATTTGCATCTCATTTCATGACCCAGTTGCCGATTTCCGAATGAGCTTTTTAACGAATAACATTGAGTTCATGGATGCCCCACGTTTATTTCATTTTTTTTAGTCATGTGACTAGCAGCTCTGAATTATATTATTTTTATGTTTATTATATTTTTTTTTTAAATAAAAAAAAGGATATTTTTAATGGTTGGGGGTGGGGACATATATTTAATATTTTTAGTACATTTTGGGACAAGCGCTTTTAAAAAAAAAAAAAAAAAAATTCTATTGTTTTATTTAATCACAACTCCGTCTGAAGAGTTCTCGAGTACTAACAGCACTGTTAAAAATTTTTTTTTAAATAAAAAAAAGGATATTTTTAATGGTTGGGGGTGGGGACATATATTTAATATTTTTATTTCATTTTGGGACAAGCGCTTTTAAAAAAAAAAAAAAAAATTCTATTGTTTTATTTAATCACAACTCCGTCTGAAGAGTTCTCGAGTACTAACAGCACTGTTAAAAAAACGCATACTCACTAACATTAAACAAACGCCATTGAAAACTCTGACGAACTAACTCTGGACAACGCCAAGACATCCGCGTGCTCCCAAGATAGAAACAGAATAGAAATCTCCTCACGTGTTTTATTGACCACCAATCTTCAGACCCACCCGCCTCCCCCAAGACTACGATTAAAACTCACAAACTCATGACCAAAACGAATATTCCAACAACAACAACAACAACAAAACACCAATCAAACCACGCAGTCTCTATTTGGAAACCATTGCATCGTCCATTCATCCCGTTTGACCTCACAACGGCCTCACAACGCCCTCACAACGGCCTCACTACGGCCTTGTGTTTGTATGTCTTCGGAAGGCGTGCCCCACCTGAAACATGATCTCTATTCCGTCTAAGAGAGAAGTGGACGCTTTTTTGTGTGTGTTACATGTGTATCAAATAATAAATGGATGAACCAGTTATAGAGCTTCAAGAATTGCTGCGCGCTGATGCCCAGACTCAGGTAATACAATTTCTGGCGATGTCTTATATATATATATATATATATATATATATATATAAGATAAGATTCTTTTATTGATCCAAAACAAATGGAAATGTTTTTTGATTACATTGCAAGGATACATTTTGAGCACATCAGTAATACATAATTTAATTCAAGATGTCCCGGGCGCAAGCTAGTTAGGGGCGCCAAAATGTGCTTTGATATTATTGGTAAAAATAATGGGTTTGAGAGTTGAAAAAATAAAAAAGGGGGCGCTTTAAAATGGATCTTGTCCCCGGGCGCGAATCTTGTCCCCGGGCGCGAATCTTGTCCCCGGGCGCCAAACACCTTCGCTACGCCTCTGTACATTTCCACACCCAGCAGGTAATGCTGAAATTAAGTAGACTTCCAATCAGCTTATCGGAGTGCTGTAAGACTGAGGTTCGGTACAGTAATGTAGACGACTTTAAAGCTATTAAAAGATAAAAATAAATAAATAACCGATATCATGGGTTTATTTTTCGATCATATAACTATGTTTCTGAAATTTCGATTTGGAAGCGAATAAAAAAAAAAGTTGTGGTTTACTTACAGGGCCATGCCAAGAAAAGGTTGCGCCCACTACCCCATCCGTTTGCGACACTTTTTGCTGACCTCCAACCGAGTGTGGTAAATAACGGTGTAGAAGAGGTTTACTTTTTTTAAAAAATTGGTGAAAAACAGCGTTTTTTCTTGATAAATTTTTAAACAAATATTTATCTGCATAGAAATTATTGTGATTCCCCTCCCAATAAATGGGAAAGTGTATGAAACCAGTAGCCCAAAGAATCATTCATGATCAAAAGTACACTTTTTAACAACCGTTATTTTGTTTTCTACAAGGGTACGGGTAATCTTCTTCTTCTATATCTTAAAGGCCCACGATCAATGTATCGCCTCTATGCATGTAGATGGGATTTGCAATGTTTCTGTTCCTGGTGTTGATGAAGAAATTTAACAGATTTCCAGTGCCACTTTGTGAGGGAATCATGCACAAGGAGTTTGAAGGCTTGAGTCAATAGACACAAATGTGTCTAGTGGTGTTGTCGCCTCAACCGTTCCTTTTGAAAGATTGTTCCATTCCCTGATTGTCTTGGATTAATGATAATTAAACAACCCCTAAAACAAAGTTTTTTCATTTAAATCATTTATAAAACGAAATATCGAGCAATTTAGAGGGGGGGGGGTAACATTTCACAAGAAATGCATAAAAGTTACGAACTTTATAAGAATCCCATTTAGTGCTCCCGATCCCCCCAGGCTCGCAACTTCACATTTTTTTCCACGCCCCTGAACTATATCAATATACTAATAACCCACACATTTTTAAAACGCAGACTTATTTCATCCACTGTTTGAAAAAAAAAAAATTAATATTTCTATTTCACCAAACACACTTTATTTATACACTATATTTTTTAAAAAGAATATCATTTAGCGCAGCTATCGGGAATTTTATTTCGTGAAATTAGTGTCATCTTACTTCCTTCACCTTCCCCTTGAAAACGGGAAAAACTGATTTTTGAAAGGTGGAAAGGGGCTGTCAGTTTTATAGGATGAGTTGTCATTGGCAACGAGTCTATGTGCCAAGTTTCAGCTGGATGGGTTTACGTGGAGTGGGTTAATTCGCCATCCAAAGATTTTGCCAAACATGAACAAAAGCGAAGTTAATATAAATAATTTTAAAAACATTTAAAAAACTTAACAGCCTTTCTATCAAAGATGAGTTAAAACGCACTATGTTCTTAAAATTGCTTAAAATACATTACGCAAAGAAAGACTGGGCAGAAGTGAAAATGAGCACTCTTTGTAGCCAAAGGATTCGAGTTGAATCGAGACCAAAGTTAAATGTTTAGTTAGCTTTTTTTTTGTTTTGGTTTCATTATTATTTTGTGGATACATTACCTGGAGGGACCGATTCCGGGTGTCATAAAATGTAATTTATCTTTTTATTTCTTGGGAGAAATACACCGTGAAAAAAGGGGGAAAAAGCGATTTGGCACTAAACATTGTTATCAAATTAGTGTATTCAATTCTGCACAATTATGTGTATTTATTTTTAACTTAGGTTAAATTGTTCTTGAGATATTTTTTTTGGGTCAGAATTTACCGCACAAAAAAAAGTCATTTTACGTTTTCATAAATTAATTATTTTAAAACAAGGATGACCTCCCCAATAATTTTTTAATACAATGATCAGTCCATTTAAATATGGCAGTTTCCATAGAGTTTATTAGAAATAAACAAAAGCATTTTTGTAAGTACCCGGTATAAAAATTGGGCTAATATTAATTTAAAAAAAAAAAAATCTTTGCAATGCCTAGTGGTAACAAATATTCATAGAAATGAAAGTTTTATGGAAATAGATATACTAAGCCTAATGTAAGACCCTATGAGGATATTTTAAATCTAAATAATCAAAACAATGAAATGAATCTGATTCCATGCCATGCCCTTCATATCTACAAAATTTGATTGATTTTTTTTTTAATTGATCATCTTGATTGCCTTACCTTGAACATGAAGATGAAATACACATGTCTGAAATACCCAAGTCAAGCCAAGTGAAATGACCTTGACACACCCAATGTCACGCCCACCAAGTACAGGTCAGAAATTAAATTGAAATCATTTCTATGATTTATACTATGATACTATGGGCATGGGTGGGTGGCTATACTATGGAATAAATAAATGATTATGATTAAAAGATTCTCATTCAGATTAAGTAATTAGTAGACACAATTTGTGTAAATAAAACAATATTTGAATTATTTGCTCAGCTTTACTGATGATTTTACAAATACACATATTATAATAAAATTTGACAAATGACTTCATCTGTAAAAAAAAAACAAAACATTTAAATAAATTTAAATTAAATTTACATAATATTTATTTACATGTATCCTACCTAAAAAAGGAGTGAGAGTGGGAGCAAACCCGGACTAAAACAAAGTTAAGTTAAGAAGAACAGAAAGGAAGTGATTGGAAGTAAAATTTAAAAAACAAACCCCTTTGGCTGGAACTTGGAACACATTATAGTTATAGAAAATGAAAAAAATTACACTTTTTTTACATGGACATGGCTCCGTTCTTTGTCTGGCCTGGGTATATGCCTGTTGTGCTAAACACAGCGTTTCTGAGTCAGGGTCCGGGTCAGCTCTATGTTAAATAAGTGGCGGTCACAAAATAGTCCCATATAAAATTGGTCAGTCCAGCACCCCTATATTTATAAGCCCTTTACTCAGTTCTAATAAATCATCTGCTCCATCCATGGTCCAGTAAATTGTATCACCTTAGCCATATAAATGAAGTAATTTCTTGATTTTGATGTGTGGTTTATTTCTAGAGCAAATCAGAGACATACAAAGGCGACATCCCAAGCTACATCAGCCATGTCAACTCTGAAGCCCAGCTTAAAGATGGGAAAGAATCTGGGGACGACAGGGGTCAGTGGGGCAGTAAGGCAGAGTTTATTCTGTCATGTATCGGACTCTCTGTGGGTCTGGGCAATGTCTGGAGATTCCCATATTTGGCTTACAAAAACGGTGGAGGTATGTGGAGGAAATGTCATCATGATTCACATCACCATCATGTTGTCTTTTTAAATTTTTTTTTTTATTTTGGGGGGGGGGGGGGGGGGGGTTTGTTAGAATATTTACAACTTTTGAATTCCAGGTAACCATTTTACATTTAGTTTACACTGCAGCAAATATATTATTTGTATAAAACTGAAGAAACATTTTAATTATTTGGGAGAACAAGTCATCTTAATACTATAAATTATAAAGTATGTCCAATGTCCAAATAAATTAATTTTTTTATTCATTTTCACATTTGTGTTCGACTTTGGTTTATCTGTTAAGAGAGACTTTGGGGGAAAAAACATTAAGCAAACTAAAAAAAAATAAAAGATTGTAGTATTGGGTTGTTACGCACTTCTACATCTAACTAAAGACAGTATAGTTAGTATTTATTTTTATACAATCAAATTTTCGGGACATAAACTTTTTTGCTCGTGCAACTGATTTTTTTTTTTCTTTAAATATAAAATTGTTTGATCCATTTTAAAATGACCAACGAGAATAAATGTCACAAAATTTGACAGGTGTCAGGCATTAAAAGAATTAACGATCTTATTAGAGTAAACAAATAAGTTATGCAGAGTTGTTAGACTAAGCCTTATATGACCAGCGCTTAGCAGCACAACTCTTATGCGTGATTTGTAATGTTGATGTTTTGTTAAGTTTTTTAATGAGTCCAGCGACACATTGTTCACGATGCAGGCACAACCTCCCTGGTGTAAATTGTGGTCATTGTCTTTCTCCCAGGCGTGGGCAGCTGCCGCCGGGCAGATGTTCTTCTCCCTGAGCGTGTCATTTGGTGGCATCATCATGTTTGGCAGTTACAACAAGTTCAACAACAAGGTCTATGGGTAAGTCTTCCATCTAGCACGGTGGACCAGTGAACCTATCTACTAACTTGGCTAGTAGAATAAGGAAACTATCCGCTTCCTAGGCTCTGTAGAACAAGGAAACTATCCACTTCCTAGGCTAGTAGAACAAGAAAACTATCCACTTCCTACTTCTTAGGTTAGTGTACCAACGAAGCTAGCCACTTTCTAAACTTGTGGACCAACAAACCTATCCACTTCCTAGGCTAGTGTAACGAGGCCATCCACTTTCTAAACTAGTGTACCAACGAACGAAAACGTCCAGGGGTGACTACAAAATTCTCCGAGGGGACAAAAATAATATGGGGAAAGGAAAATTTAAAATTAACCCCGATATTGAAATTTTAAGAATTAAAATTGAAAAAACAATTATATTCCTATTAAAATTCCTTTTTGGACAATAACTTGTGTTGATAATGTCATTTGCTGACAAACGGTGTTGTGCATACTGTAGAAACTAATTTTTTTTACACATTTGTAAAGCTAATACTTATATTCCTGTGTACTTCCTTCACGTTTTAGTGAAAGACGCCTCCTGAATTGTTGATGATCACATTTTGATATCTCCACACAGGGATGCGCTGTTGATTGGCTTCATGGATCTTATCACGAGTGTCATCGCTGGCTTCGTTGTCTTCTCGACATTCGGTGGTATGGCAAAGGCAATCGGCAAACCAGTCTCTGATGTGGCTAAAGGTGGTACGTATACAGGCAGTGTTTCCTACGTCCCGATGATGGTTTGTATATTTTGGCTATTTTACAGAATGAAAACGAATGACCCACATGTGGCAAAATTGGTGGATTTCGTTTTAAAATCAGGCTGGGAATTTTTTACATTTTACAGTGGAACATAATTATCTCGACCTCGGTTAATCGCCAACCCTGTTAGTCGACGTTTTTGAAGTGGAAATGCCAAATTCTAACTTTGTCTTAGCATTTTCTTGTTATGTTGATTCTTTATGTCACCGAACCCTGATATCTTGAGCACAAAAGGCGGCCAAATTTGAAACTTAAAGTCAGTTATCTCGATCCCCATGACCAATCGCCGGCTTTTGAAAATATATATACAACAGAAACATGCTTACTTCAAACTAGTAATTTAAATGGAATGACAATATCGTTGTCGGTGCAATTAACTTGACACAGCGAGAAGCGAGGAGCAAGAGGCTTGCAGACAAAAGACTGAGGTGGCGGTACCTTTTCTATTAATAGCAAAACCACTTATCACAGAGTAGGCTTTCTCGTGTTCTTACACATCGATTTTTTTTTTAAAAAATCTGTATTTGAATAAACTGAACTGGCAAATCAGGGACGAGAAAAAATAAAAGCTTGCGAATCCGGAGTTTAAAAATATTTAGCCTCACGAATCCAGAATTCTGTGTTGTCCGGTAAAATGGCACCCCACGTATGCCTTGTGTTGTTAGCAAACATGTTTTTACATTTTTATAACATACCAATCGCTTCATCAAACAAATCGGGGTAATGCTGTTTTTTAAAAAAAAAATTCCAAAAACATGTTCATGTACACTCATTTATAAACGCACATCATGTAAATAAAGAAATTTCAAGCACATATATATTGCCACCATATTGGTTTTCGGTTATCTCGATCATTGGTTATCTGAATGCTTTTTGGCAAACCCCTAGGTCGGTGACATAATCGGGTTCGACTGTAAATGGTGAAACAATGCAAACCACCCCACCCCACCCCCTCCACCCCCTGTAAAAAGTGCGGTGGCCTCGAGGCACATGTGTCCTTTAATAAGTCCTTGTTAATTATTTAGTTACCATTTACTTCTACTGATTAAGAGATTTAGTGTGTGGTGGGGTGTCAATACTAATTATTAATTTAGTAACTTCAACTTTTGTTATTGGTGGGTAACTGGAATATCTTGTTTTGGTACCTTCACCTATCTAGGCCTCGGGCCCTTATGCTTGGAGAAACAAACAAAGTCATCCAATCATTTATGTGGGTAAACTGCAGTTGCAAAAGCCCATTCTCTCCCCCCCCCCCCTTCCAACCCATGGCCTATTTAAATCTTTTACTGACCATTACAGTTTAATGACGTATAGCATCCAATCAAACTTTTCCAGACTTAAAACAGTATCCATGTGTAACATGTATTTTCTCACCTTGTTACCCACCGCACCAGGTTAAAGTCTGGCGTTTGTCGTGTACCCTGAGGCCTTGTCCAACCTGCCGCCATCACAGCTGTGGTCCGTCTTATTCTTCTTCATGTTGTTCACACTGGGCCTGGATTCTGAGGTAAGACAACATTTGTGATAACTTCTTAAATAGAATCAAACATTAGTAATGAATTATTTTTCTCCAGTATTCATATTTAGACTTTTTTTGAACGCCAGTATTTATATTTAAGCAATAAATTATGAAACATTAGATGTGCATGCTTTATTTGTTACTTTATAACACGCACTGGGGACAGTGGTGGTCAGTGTTCTTCTTTACATTTATAGTTTGGATTTTTAGCAATGAGCAACCAGTCTCTCAACTCTGACCTGCCAACCTCTCAACTCTGACCTGCCAACCTCTCCACTCTGACCTGCCAGTCTCTCAACTCTGACCTGCCAGTCTCTCAACTCTGACCTGCCAGTCTCTGTCTCTTCTCTTTAACCCCACTGTCTCTAAGACCTTATCTCCATTCCTCAGTTTGGCCTGATGGAGACGGTGCTCACCTGCATGCAAGACGAGTTCCCTACGACCAGGAAGTACAAAAGTGCCATTTGTATAGGTATGGCCGTGGCGTGTTTCTTTATGGCCCTCCCATGCACATGTCCAGTAAGCAATCCCATGTTTCTTTATAGTTATTAAGTAAGAACTGTTGTTGCATACTTATGGGTGACATGGCTTCCGTTGGTAAAATAGAGGTGAGTTTTGGTTTTGAGCGAAAGGTATAGACAGAAGGCAACTGAGCTGACACATGCCAGTTAGGTACACGTCAATACACGTCAAGTTGTATTGTAGCACTTGACGGTGCTAAGCCCTGGTCATACAAGACGAGCACAGGGATGGTCAGACCTAAGGACAGTCAATAGTCAGTCTACAATAAATATGTACTGCATTATCATCTGTGACACACAGCGATGTTGAAAAACCAAAAAATACAATCCACAAAGTAGAGATTGGTGGTCATGTACTGACCACCACTACGTCAAGGTAGTTTGCAACAAATCAGGACTGATTAATAACGCATCTCATTCACAAATGTGCTAGACCTATGTGCGTGTATCGTACAAGGTATTTGTGTGTATGTGTTTGGGTCAGTTGTCTGTGACACCATTCATTTCCCTCCTCCTACGGCGGTGACTACGTTGTGACCATCATGGACCACTATGGAGCTGACTTCTTGGTGCTGTGTCTGTCCTGTATCGAGGTCATCTCTGTTATGTGGGTTTACGGTGAGTGGATAGTTCTAGATAAAATAGTGTAGGTGAGTGGATAGTTCTAGATAAAACATGGTATCAACCCACCACAAATCCTTTCCTGGGTTAGAATAAATGTGAATGGGAATTTGAGAATAGGTGTAGTGTTTTTTCTTTTTGAAGAAAAATTACCATATTTTTTTTCGTCAAACTTTCTATTTTAAAAAGTGGGGTTCCCAGCCTGTTATTTGTAAATGCCATAGAAATTTGTTTGTGATGGGTTGAAACCGTGAATGTAAATGGCTTGTGAAAGAGTTGCTTAATCTTCTTTAGCTTTTACCCAAAACATAAATGGATCCAGGGCATTTAAAATGTTGAGAACCCCCGTAAATTCGACAAATTTCTGGAGCAACCTAGGCTACATGAGCTTGAACATCCAATGCTGTCTATATTACAACTATCATAATTCCAACAGAAACACCAAGGGATCACCTATGTGTTCCCATATTGTTTAATTAGAAGCAGACGCTGCTGGGTACTATGGGGATACTTAGAGGTAGAGGGTAAGTGACGCGTTCTTCTCATAACAAATGATTTGTGTGTGTGTGTTTTCTACAGGTTTGTTCAATTTTTTAAAAGACCTCCAAATGATGCTCGGAAGCAAGCCCCGGCGGGGATGGCCCTACTGGGTGCTTTGTTGGGGGTTGTCATCACCTCTACTTATAGGGGTCAGTGCATACTCTTACTCGTAGGGCGCCGTCAAGCATAATCTCTTGTCTATGTTTAATCTACTACCCACCCCTTCTGCCACCTCAACTCTCCACAAAAAAAAAATTAACACAAGCATAATTTTTTTACACTAATTTATTTGGTACACTTAAAGCAGGGGTGTCAAACTCAATTGCTCGTCAGGCCAAAACTCAAATCACATTTAAGGTTGCGGGTCGAACAGGATGAACATTCAATAAGTGGAAAATTAATATTTTTTTAAAAACATTTATATAATAAAAATGAAAACAGAAAAAAAAATAATAAAAAATCATTGGCATACCCATTTTGCCAATTTGTCAGAGTTCGATGTTTGGCACAAGTTCGTTTATCTCGGAAGTAACGGTCTGTGTCTTTGAGATTCTCATGATGGACTCCAAGTGTTCATCAGTGAGACAATTCCCGTGTGATGGTTTGTTCATCTTCATCAAAGAAAACAGTTTCTCACACATATATGTGCTACCCAACATACTCAAGGTTTGAGACGCGTGAAGACCAAGCTGGGGCATCTCTTCAGGAATGAAACGAGTTAACTGTGCTGGCCCAACTGTGTCGTAGTTTGCCTTTAGTGTCCCATTACACTGCAGCTCTATTAGCTCCATCTGAAAATTTACTGGTGCAGTTTTCATGTCTATGACAAATGGGTTACGAAACAGCTCGAAAGTACATTACTGTGCTTCAAAGTCACTAAAGCGCCGTGTGAACTCGGCGAGATGTAAGTTAAGTTTTTCAGCAAAGTGTGCATTGGGAAACACCATAGCGTTCGACTTGGATATAATTGTACGCTGGTCAAGACGACGGGGGTCTGATATAATTGTACGGTGGGTCGGATGTGGCCCCCGAGCCTTCAGTTCGACACATGTGACTTAACGGTACCAACACATTTTGTGTTTTATATTGAAGAGTAGCAATGGTTGCAGGCGTCGAAGAAATTCAGAGCAAGCCCAAAACCACATTTACAACTCCACCCAAGTAAACCAAAAACACAGCAAAATAACAACAAAACTTAAGCATCATTAAAGAAATGATGACCTGATGAGTTTGTGTCTCCTTCCATTTCAGCTCCTGTTCATCTATAGAATGGTAACTCACAACCCACCCACGTATGACGACGGCACACCATATCCCATTTTTGCACAAGGGCTTGACTGGGCGTTGTTCGGTCTGGCAATGTGTCCCGTTCCCATCGTCTTTCTGTGGAGATTGGTCAGGTCTTTTATGGATCCTTCAGTCACTAGTTTCAGGAAGGTAAGCAGTGCAATCCAGTGGAGAAAGCAGGGTAAAAAAAAAATAATTATCGTCAAGCTGGCAAAAACAAATGTGTGACCAACATTTAAAATGAACTTTTTCACTGAAACTGATTATCACTAAGACCCTGTGAGTGATCTAGGACTTAGTCAACTGTTAGAAAAAAATTCCTTTTCTAATTTGAATAAATAACTCTATATGTAACCAATTAACATAGTTGCAATTTGGTAGGACATTGTCTTACTCTTAGCCATCTTTTATTTTATGTTTACCCAGCATCTTGTTTTTATAAATGTTTAGCATTTCGTCCCCTACAGCGTGACAGTATTTGTCCTGACAGTGACCTGAGAGATACCCATCGCCCAAGCCCTAAGAGGGTATCAGAAAATGTTCAAGATGCTATAATATGCTACATTTCGTCCTCAGAGGTTATCCTTCATGTTCTCGCCTACTCCAGAGTTTGGCCCCAATGATGGCGTGCTACGCACAGAGCCCTACCGGTACAGCAATTCATTGGTCTCAGGCCTCGCCTGGAAGAAACAAGAGAAGATGGGCTATGAACAATCCCAGTGGTGTTACTAACCATGCTGCTGTGAACAGTGAAGATAGGGTACAAACAATCCCATTGGTGTTACTAACCTTGCTGCTGTGAACAGTGAAGACAGGGCACAAACAATCGGTGTTACTAACCTTGCTGCTGTGAACGGTGTTACAGCTAGGAGAGAAAGAGCCACCTCAACAATATTGGCGTTGGCCAGTCGTGTTGGGTCAATGATTAAATTTAATTTTTTTATAAAAAATAATAATTATTAGTTTAAACTTTTTTTCCCCCTGTGGCATTTATCACGGTGGCTTAGCGTAGAGTTTTCTTTTTTCCAATGGTGTTATTTTCAATTCAATATTTCTTTTTAAACACACGCATGTACTTGACAATAAAAGATACTCATCTATTTAATTCTGACCTATAAACTTCGTGTTTGTTCTCATTTCGGTTTTTTTTTTTTCTCTCTCTTCTCCTCTTTCAAAAATTGCCATTGATATTAATTACAGAAAATAAAATGATTTATAAACCTCAAATTTGTAAACCTCAAATTTATAAATCTCAAATTTATAAATCAGAGATCCGCTAACTTTTGATCATTAGGATTCGCCACTATATCAAATTTCAAACCCAAATATAACTTAAGCTAATTTTCGAATTAAGCCAATTGATTGCAAAATTGCATGTAAAAGAAAAATTGTTAAAAAAATAATTTTAAAAAAATGTCCACATTGGCAGGCCTTTGTAACAAAAGTAATTTTTGCTAAAAGTAAAAGTGGAATAATATTTCAGTAGTCATAACTAAGCCAATAAATGTAGGAACATTATGGTTTTTTTTTAATATATTTATAAGAATTACCAAATGGTTTTAGGCTACTCAGGTTGCTCAGGTTGCATAGAGATAACGCCAATAACCTCACCCTCAGACATGAACAAGAAACTTTCAACCCACTGTTTACACAGTTGTCTACAGGTGAGAAGGAGAATGAGCCCTTTATCAGTTTCCGCAGCCACAGGGCAATGCATTCATACTTGTGAAATATTGATGTCTAATATTGATTTAGAGATGTATGCATATAAGAAAAATAGTGTGCAAACAAATTTATGCCTAATATTGATTTAGGGATGTATGATGTGGTGTCTCTATATGCATTTATATTATATCTAAGTTCATTATCTCTGTTACTTTGATACTTGGCCATGCTTCTAGACCAATATTAAAGTACAGTAATTTCTCCTTTTCTTTATATTAAGAAGTGACCTTTTTGGCAGACTGATGATTTTTAGGGGAGAATCCTGGCTCAACCACAGCAAGGAAGGATGAGAGGGGAAGGAAAAAAAAAAGGGGGAGGGGGGGGGTGCGCGATTTGAATCTTGGCTCAACTCAGAGGAAAAACTGGCTGGGTAAACTAAGG